CTGACGGAAGTTATTATCTACATAGATGAAACAAAACGTTTCGATTAAATAAATAAATAACCAGCAGCGCATCGTTTAAAAAGTTTTTCTTCCTCCACTCTCCATCATCACTCATAACCGTTGATAAATTAATCTACATTAACAAATGCTATAGCTTCTGTAAAATATAAATTTTTTGCCTGTTCTTTTTTCGCTCTTCTTTTTTTTGCATTTTCTTTTTTTTCGCTCGTCTAGTTTTTTTCCTTTTTTTCTTTCTACCATTAAGTTTTTCTTTTTATTTAAATATATATTGAAGGTCGATAATGGGGTTCGCCCCGCTGACCTTGTTTGATTGAGAATGACATCTGTGAGGGTGGCAATAGCTACTCCGAGAAAAAAGCTGATTATTTTCATTCGCCTCGTTCTTTCTGCATAATAAATAATATGAAAAGAAAGCTTGTTGACCTGTTGGTATATCAATTATGCTGATATATTATTTTTATGAATCAGTTGCTTTACAGAACTGTATGGGTGTATACCCCTGCTCCCAAATGAGTTGAAAATTATTGAGTCACAGGAATTTTCTCAAAAAATAATTCAAAATTTTCTCCATATAAACATTGAATAAAAATGATTGTGTACAAATATTTACAAGGAACTGAAAGTGATCACTAAAGTAAGTTTATTATTGTAATACGTCAAAATGCTGAGAAATTCATAAAGCTTCAAAAGACTTTGAACGTTGAGATCAACTAACAAATTGTATCCACTTTTAGTAACAAAATTCTGCCTCATAGAAAATGACATCAAAACGTAGTAAAATTCTTGATGAAAATGTTCTATCAATTTGTCCATATTTCAAACGCTTTTGTGCAAATCCATTTGACGAGACCAAAAATCCTAATGGAATATTAAACCTTGGTGTAGCAGAAAATATGTTGTGTGAAGATATGATAGCCGGCAAATTGGCATCAATACAAAATTGGTTCCCAGAGTATAACTACTATCCAGATGCAGGAGGAGAGTTAGCCTTTCGAAAGGAGTTGTGCCAGTTTTTCACCAGATTCTTTCTTCTTCATAATACTATTCAGCTCGAGCCAAAAAGACTTTTAATCACAAGTGGAGCAACGACCGGTTTCGCTCTGTACAGTTTCGTCTTGGCTGATATCAACGATGTATTCATCGTTGCATCACCGTACTATAGTGTTATGGATCGTGATATCTCACTACTGACTCATAATACTGTAATTCGATGCCCATTGCTAGATCAAGATAAGGGTCTGTTTCGAATTCATGTTGACATTTATAGGCGAGGGTATAATGAAGCAATCAAGAATGGTTTAACGCCAAAATGCATAATCATCACTAATCCACAAAATCCACAAGGCTCATTTTATGACGAAGAAACGCTAATGCCCATATTAGAATTCGCTGCTGAGAAGCAGATACATGTTATTGTCGATGAGATATACGCATTGAGCATATTCAAGACATCAAAACAACCGTTTACATCTATTTTAAATTATCAACATTTACCTGATCCCAAACGGACACATTTCCTGTGGTCATTTAGCAAGGATTTTGGTCTATCTGGAGCACGTTTGGGTGTGTTATATTTTGGAACCGAAGAGATTTGTAGGAAAGCTCAGAAATTAAATTATCTATTTTTACCATCGAGAGCTATCCAAATGACACTGATAAATCTAATATCAGATCACGAATGGGTAGAAGTTTATATCGAAACAAATCAAAGACGTCTAACAGAACAATACTTTTATGTTATAAATCAATTGAAACTGATAAGCAATAATAGAATACAGGTGTACAAATCGAACGCCGGTTTTTTCATATGGGCGAATTTCCAGTCTTATATGAAAGAGAAGACATTTGATGAGGAACTGAGATTGTATAATGCAATATTTAATGGTGGTGTTTTTATCTCAAGAGGAAAGAATATGGGCGCTGCAGAACCTGGATGGTTCCGACTTGTTTTTTCTGTTAAAGATAATTGGATCAATGAAGCTTTGGGAAGAATCCAAGTGGCACTGGAGAGATACGAGGAAAATTGTGAAGGGCGAGGAACCAAGCGGTTTCGTCGACATTACAGCCTCATCGACCATATTCCCACTTAGAAAAATATATAGTTTGGAATTTTTTATTATCTAGCCAGTTTTCTCAACAAATTGTTTAACGCAGATCGAAATGCCGTTTTTGAAGTTGTATATACTACTGATATGTATGTAATAAAAAGAAATACATGTAATTATCCTTTTGCAGAAAAATTTCGCTATTGCTCCGACTGAGGGAAACTGTATAATAATTTCAATCTGTGTCAGTATCATCCGTTAAAAGTAACAGTACTATCTATTTCAAATAGAATGGAGTCTGCTATTTTTTTAATAGCTTCAGTAGGAGAGACGTAGAGACATGTAGCTTACGCCATTGAAAAGAGGAGACTTGGTGACGCCTTTTCATAGCACTTCAGACTGTGATTAATTTTATCCATTACATATATCTCTCTGTATATGGTATACATCGTTTGTCGATGACGTGCTCTACAATCTTTCACTCCTCTTTTCATTCTATTAGTTTAATTGAAATTGTGAGTTAAAATTAGACAGTAAACAGTAGATTATCTTTTTCATATTTATGAAATGTAATGTCCTTGATGATGTATGAACCAGTACAATCATGCTATAAAGTATTATGCAATTTATTCTGTTCATTTGGCTAATTCACCACATGGCTGCTAGAAAAAGAAAAGCCATTGATAGACGTTATTTCCATAAAATTCTGTATTTCCGTTCAAAGGTCACTTGACGGATCTAGGTAAATGTACCTTTCTACCTTGTTAGCTAGCTCCAACCTAGTAATGAATCGAGCACTAGGTTATCATAATCGAGTAGGGGCGGGTGGTTGACAACTAGGTTGACCGCCCAATTAACCGACCAGTTAAGCTAGCTCCGAAGACGAAATATATTTAATAAGAGGGTGGTTATCAAGTAGATTAACCGGGTGGTTGGAAGATCCAGTTAACCAGACGGTTAGAGCGCCCGGTTTTCGCAGAAAGTATTTCTAATATCAAGGTGCCCTAGGACACTTCTGTCACTATTTTATATAGATGAAATTGTGACGCAAGAACTTCTCCATCGAATGATATATCTATCGTAGTGGCTAGTCGAGAAACGTTGATCACCGGATCCCCATCGTTGAACAAGCCACCCACTTATCACGATTTCGCCGAAAGTATTTCTAATGTCAAGGTGCCCTAGGACACTCTTTTCTATCGTATGTACACGAAATTATAGCGCAGGAAATTCTCTATCGAATGCTATATCTATAGTAGTAGCTAGTCGAGAAACGTTGATCATAGGATTCTCACCGTCGAATAAATCACCCGCTTTTCACGGCTTTACAGAAAGTATTTCTAATGTCAAGGTTTCCTAGGACACTTTTCTCACTATCATATATACACGAAATTGTAGCGCAAGAAATTCTCTATCGAATAGTATATCTATCGTAGTGGTTGAATGATAAAGGGTGTCATAGATTATCTTGGACTTTTTGCACATAGAAGATTATTTCCATACACGGAAGCATACATACTTGACCTCAGAACGACTATTTCCGTATGTGTGATATACAGAAATATAGCGCAGAAAAAGAGCTTTCGAATGACATGTAATAGTTCTACTAAGGCATGAAAGCCGGAGAAACATACTCGAAAATATGATCGATAATACGTATCAGAAGTGATTACAGTTAATTGGATCCAATTTTTTCTGAGAGCATTTCATTTCTATGGTCTGCCGAGTGGCTAGAAATGTTCTCCGGTTCATTCTGCATCTAACCATGTATGTGTCGATGGAATTCAAGCAGGGGGCCGATTCCATCAAATAATCGCCCCGGTCCTTTCAAACTTCGAAGTAATATCTGTCATATATCTTATATATCAACATCATACCGTTCTTTTCGTTCTCAGCTTGTATTCGGAACAAAATCTTTGGGCCACTCCCTGTCGTTTCTTACTTTTATTTTTTCGTTTCTGTAAATAAATTTATCGAAATATAGAAAGTGCTTCAGAGACGGTTTGTCAGCTCATCAAGAAATCGAGTCACGAGTGAAAAACTGACATATACCTGACGAATATTTTGGCGGCAAAAACATCGAAAAAATAGTTAAAAGCTGTATTTCTCCTTGACTAGAAATGATAAAGATGGGATTTGTTCATCATAGGTAAGGTGCCGCTAACTGAACATTCGTGCCAAATTTATTTTTCGTTGAAATCTGAGTTGAAGGATGTACTCTTTAATCCTACCCCATCATTTTTGTTTTTGTCCAATCTTCGTATCGAAAAATTATTGAGCTTTTCACCAAAAAAAATTATAATCAATGAAAAATTTCGAAATACACATCGGTCGACTCAGTTTTTCATCCTGATCCGGAATATGATATTTGTATTGCATAAAAATTGAGTTCTAGTGAAGAAAATAGAGAATTACGAGCAGAATTCCTATGTTTTCGCCTCTAATTTGGAAAACATGAATTTTCTCCGTGATAAAGCAAAATAAAAATAAAAATGATTCGTACTTTTAAAACTCGTTTAACGGCGGTTCTAATGGAATAAAAAAGTCGGATTCATCTCTTCACAGAAAAGGCTAGATAGGTGTGCAAAATAGGATGAGTCAAAGACAACCATACGAGATAGACTTTTGACTTCAACCTGGACCAAGAATCATTCTCATACTCAGTTTTCATCATACCGTTCTTTTCGTTCTCAGCTTGTATTCGGAACAAAATCTTTGGGCCACTCCCTCTCGTTTCTTACTTTTATTTTTTCGTTTCTGTAAATAAATTTATCGAAATATAGAAAGTGCTTCAGAGACGGTTTGTCAGCTCATCAAGAAATCGAGTCACGAGTGAAAAACTGACATATACCTGACAAATATTTTGGTAACGAATCAGCAATAAAAAAGCTCCAAAGCGCGCCACTTAGTCTATCAACTAACGAGGGAAGTACCCCAACTGATAAATCGCTTTTTCAACGAAACCGAGTGGACTATAGGTAGTCGACGATGCTGATTCCGAATATCACCATGAATGCTGCTGCTAGGCCTTCAAAGACC